GGTTCGGCAGCGCCCTCAGGTGAACCTCGGAGTGGTCGAGGGGACGCGTCGAGTTGTTTGGTCGGCGGTGCCGGCACACGCAGCTCTTTCGGTTACTTTGCTGCTCTTTTCTCGGTGCTTTACGTGCTGCCAGCGGTATAACGAAGGGTCTCTTTTTTTCTTTTTTTCTAACAGCAGTATTAATTGCTGTCCTCTGGGTTTGCAAAGTTTTAGCTGAAGAGTGCGGTTTCCCTGTTCTGTACTTCCCAGAGCTCTGTGGCATTTCGCTGGCATCCATTAATGCTACAGCAAGAACATCCTGAGCCTGTGGTCAGTTCCTTGCTGCTCTCTCAAATGGAAATGGCTTGCTTGAGGACAGAGAGAAAGGGCTCGGGTCGTTTCTGCATGTTCTGTGGAGTGGTGGGGAAAGCAGCGGGGTGAAAGTCCTCCAGCATGCTGCCAGGAGGGAAACTAACTGCATTTTCCTCGGTGTCCTTCGTGTGCTCCTTTCCTGCTCAGAGCTGGGCATACCATACCTATAGAAGAAGCTGTGCTAGCGCAGGAAGGATGTTCTGGTGGATAAGATGCTGCTCCAGGCCTCGGGAGTTTGGCACTCAGTAACTTTTCTTACCAGCTTTATATGCACTCACCTATTTCCCAGGTTCCCCAGTTGTAAAATGAGGCTTTGGATTTCCAGCCCTCTCCAAACAATGCGTCTCTTTGGATCGTCTGTATAGCAGGGTGACTGGAGACGTGACAAGATCCCTTGACACCTAGCTATGATATTTCAGGTCACGCTCTATGTGAATGAATACGCGGTCTGATGAAAATTTTATTAGCTTCAGAAAGGAACAAATGTAAAATTACCATCCTTGATTTTCAGGCATGAAATGTCTCTTGTGTTTAAAGTATAAGTCAACTTTTCTTAGGTCATTAGCTTTTACCTGCTTTGCCAGGCTTCTGAGGTGTCCTGGTTTGCAGTCTTTGACAGCATCTTTGCTCTCAGGTGGAAGCATGGTTGTATTCCTGTAGAATGCATGTTTCTGTTATCATTATGTTGCTGTTTTCATGCTACCAGTAATTAAACACAGCTTTTTTCCCCTCTATTGATCAGTTGCTGAAGTAAAAGAAATCTCTATCCTCCCCATGCTAACTGTTGACATGGAAAACAAGGAAAATGGCTCTCTGGATGTCAAAAAGTAAGTGAATCCATAGTGGTCAGTTTATGTAAAGAGCATATGGATTTGGGTTGTAGTTTTCCTTTGACTTAATGCGGTTGACAATAGTAGGCACCTCCATCTTTGCTCGGTTCAAACCTTCCTCGCTCTCTAATTACTTTTGTTGTATTTCAGCTTGGAAGTAGAAGAGTCTCGGGCACTAAATTGGTTAAAAGCGATATGTGGGAGGACTGTATAGCAGTGGAGAGTTGTAGGAGGTACTAACTTAAGTTAGGGATATACCTGTGTCCATTGATTTCTTCCCTCAGCCACAGAGTAAAGCAAGTGGTAGCACTGTAGCCAATGCTCTTACCTCTGCTCACCTCTCTGCTAGTGGCTTCTGCAGAACTGATGCCTGATGGAGAGAAGTGTCGTACGTGGAACTCTCCTCTGTGTCTCCTTCAGAGACATACACCTTCTCTGCTGAGTGCTCAGCTGGTTAGAACTGAGAATAGTAGCAGCAGCGTATGTTTTTGGTGTCAGTTCTCTTCTGGAACAGATGTTTTAAGTTGTTTGCTGGAAAAGCCCTGAACTGCTGGGTTTTTACTTCAGACCTGGGACGGGAAGAAGACAGAGGCATAATGTGCACCACTTTACAGTTTTCTTTAGCGTGGTAGACTGCAGGCTAAGGGATAGGAGCTGTTCTGAAGGCGTTTCTGTATGCTCGAAGGTCAGCGGTTCTTAGATGTGGACTATCAATTCTGAATGAAGTTATGATCTGAGAAGTGGAATTCTGTGTGGAAAAAAAAATGGCCTTGCTGCTTTAGGGTTAGAGAAGCCGTGCTGAGATAGGTATGTACGTATCTCTATATATTTACAAACCCCCTCCAAAACAAAAAAGCCCTGAACACAACACAAACAACAAACCGCAAAGAAAGGTACTAGCGAGAGTTCTTAGCCTGTCCTCTCAAACTACAGCATTTCTGCAAAGCTGCACATTATTCTTCTCCTTCAGATCTTTTTTCCATAAGCCTTCCAAGAAAACTTGACAATGCTTAGGCTGCCAGGCACTGGAGCGATATAAATAATGACAATAACAGCATAACAACCACAAAATAACAGTAGTGATAATGGTCACTTCAGGATGCTGCTAAGACACCTGATACCGACACAACACCAGAAGGTCTGATGGCAGCCGTTACAATCAGCGTACTCCGCCTTCACTCGAGACATTGGTTACACCACACCAGCCTAAAATGCAGTCTCGTGTTCAGTGACCACGAATAGCTTATATCATATATGTCCTTCAGCTGCCCGTCTTGCTTCCACAGTGAGGAGGACTCTGTGGTGGGAGGAGAAGGAGGGCACTCAAAGCAAGGACAGGCTACGTTCAATCGTTTTTGCCTGAGGCTTAGATGATAAAGGCTCAACGACTAATATTGACGGTGGCTTTTTAGAACTGGTGATTGTAATTAAACTGATCAGAAGCTGTGGTTTCTAAATGAATGTCTACAGTACGTACATGCACATATCTACAAAGGGAGTGTTTGGCACTTTGCTGAAGTGGTTATAAATAGCTCGGATAAAATCTGATTGTTCGCAGCTTTATCCTTTCAAGCCTTACTGCTTCTGCCACATGATGGCAATAAAGGCGCAGGGACAGTGGTGAAAACCAGGCGAGCTTCAGCTTTATTCAGTATCGGTGTATCTAGTGTCTTATTACAAAGCCTAAAATGCGAGTCCACTTAAGATGTACAGCATCCAGGGTGGCTGGCATAAGCCAGCGTATGGCTAAGCCATGGCTATTCTGTTATTTCCTTTTCTCGTCTCAAAATAGAGCCATGTGCAGCAGCAGGGCAAGGAGGAGACTGGTAGAAGTCTAGAAACCAAACGAGCATCTGCGTAGGTTAAAATCTAGCCAGCCTCCAGCAGTCTGCCACGTGCCTTTGAGTCCTCTGCAGCTGTAGTTGTGGAAATTGGCTCCACTTGAGGTTCATCGTGATGCTGTTCCTTGAGGCAGGAATTTGCAATTATTTCCTGTGACTAGTTAATGACTATGATAGAGAAGTCAGTGCAGTTGAGCTTGGGATGGGGCTGGACCAAGCTGTAGTTCCCTAGTGGTGAAGGAAGAGCTACTTGAAGAACTAACACACTTAAGCTGAAACAAAAAACTGTGGGAAGGAGGGTTTGACACCATATTTACCTTGAAATTAAAGTGCTTTTGGAAGTAAGCAAAATACAGTTAGGAGGTATTTTTAGAGATTGAGTCTTTTATTTGCCATTTAGAAAGAATTAAATTCAATAACTTTAAAATTATTTTTTTAAATACTCAATGGTTGGGGTTTTGTTAGTTTATTTTTAATTTTAAGTAGATGAGTCATTGAAAGTGTGATAGTCTATGTCTTAGGAAATACGCAAAGATTTGAATATTTTTCAAATGCTACTTGTAGAGATATGTCTAGGTTTTGTGTTGTGCTTTTCACATTTTACTTCTTGAGCCTCAGAGTGTGCTCAACACCAGAAATCTTAATTGAAAGGCGTTCTTTGATTATTTTTCTTTAATTTTATTTATCTGTAGCTCTGATAAGGCCATATAGTCTCAATTTCAGTTTTGCTGAGTGTTGCCTTTCTGTGTAATGACAACCAGTGAAGCGATTCGTGAAGTAAGTCATTACTTGATGAGCAGAAGTATGAAACTCTGGCCCTTTGCTCGTTGCTCTGAGATACAGGTATATGCCATGTGATAAGTGAAAGGAGCTGCTTTTAGAAGGCCAAGAGCAGCATATGGTGATATCCAGGTTGCAGTGTGAGTCCCTGGGGCCGGAATTTTATCTCTAAGCTTCAGGAGCCAACATGGACAGGGATCTGTACATTTTGGATATTTCTTCATTAGCATTTTGGTTAAGTGTGCAGAACAGTGGAAAATGTATGGCATGAGCAGTGGGATGTCGGCTTGGAGAAACACATTAAAGACGTTCTTTCGGTATCTTGCTCTTCATCCTCCTACCTTGTTATGGGAAAAGCAATCAAGCTTACTGTGTGTCTTTTTTTTTACCAAGAACTTGCAGGTACACAACGGTTCTCTGTGGTAGGGTGATGGCGGTTTGAGAATAAGAAATGTGGGATGAGGATATAAATATGAATCGTTGTTTGTTTTGACTACTGTCCAAACCCGATTTTTTGGGAGTTTATATATTGAGCAATTAGTGCAATCATTGGTACCTCTCTGGGTTTTTTTTGTTTTACAAGGTGAAGGTGGTTTCCCATAGTTTCTACCTATGTCACAAGGAAGCATAGTTTCACCTGGGAAAAGAATAATCCACACACTGCAAATCTTTATAAGTACTTGGGAGCTGAAAATAGGCAGCAGTCCTGAAATACAGGGATTTGGTACCTCAGTCATGGTTGGCTTTGTTCTCCAACTGCAAAAGCAGTACTCTGACGGGAAAAGATCCTGACTGATTACCTTTGGCTGATGTGAACATTCATGTGCTTTCTTCTTTTCTGAAGGGAGAGGTACCTTGGTTTTCTCCAGCGTTAAGCCTTTGAAATGGAGGAGAACAGGAGTGACTGTTCCGTATCAAGGTGGGGGAGGCGCGACAAAGGGTTCTTCTCCTGGAGGAACAAGGGAAGAAGGGGATGTACACAGCAGCAGACACTTCGCACGTGTTTAGTGATTACTCGTCTGGATTTTTACTTTGCAGTTCAGTAGAGAATGGGAGACCTCCAGATCCTGCTGACTGGGCTGTTGTTGATGTTGTGAATTATTTCAGAACAGCTGGATTTGAAGAACAAGCCAATGCCTTTCAAGAACAGGTAAATCTGTTAGGAAACACCTTTTGACTGCCACCAGTTTATCACACTGCACGTTTTTAACATTGACCTATTACATACTCTTAAATGAGTGTGAGAATCCCACATTAATGGGGGGATTTGAGCGTATTATTGGGTTAACATCCATGGATCTGTGCTCTTTGAGTAATAATATTGTTCTACAAGGTGTGGATAACAGGTTGGAGTTTGTTTAAGGCAGTCATCGGAAAGGTCGGGATTCTAAACACATTTTCCGGCTTGGACTTCGTCTCCCTATACAACCCGCTCAGTTTCACTGTCTTGTTATTTAAACTGGGAATGGCAATTTCCTTTTCCTTTAGTGTATTGTGCAGATGCATTAATGAGTATTTATAAAATCCAGGGGTCCTCAGAAGTAAGTTGCCTTTGAAGAACTAGAATGAAAAAGAGGCTACTCCATTGCATTGAACTTGGCAGTGCAAGTGAACAAGAAAGGACAACGAAGCAGAAGAGTCTTTTTAGGCACGAAGTCACCATGTTTGTAAGATTCAGTCTGAGAAAGAGTTTGGGTCTTCATTCCTGGGCCTTGCAACTGCTGACGCTAATGGATGGCTTCTTCTGGTGGATTTGATCGGCAGTGAGCTTAACAGCTCTATGGCCCCCCTGTAACTCACCCAGCAGCACCCTAGTGAGGTGTATTGCTGGGGAAGGATAAAGAAGTTGGCTTACACTTGGCCTGCAGCCCACTCTGTTCCACAGAGGAGGAACTTGCATGTCCTGATGGTCAGTTCAGCACCTTCCCTCCTAAGCCTATCGATTTGCATGCAGCTACCAGGAAATTAGTTACCAACACTAGTACTGAGTTATCGGAATAGGTGGCTTGACCTACCAGGGCACTGGGCTAGTGCAAGTTATTGGCAGCTTTGCAGAGAAACTGTCCATCTAACATGGAATAACACCACTGTTGGTCAGGCCAACCTTGCTGACCTTCAGCACCTGGACAGTGAGATCCCATCTGCTTCAAGTGATGGGTATAACGGTGTCTAAACGTAGCTCTTTGTTCTTGGGGGTGAAAAGCCTGATGTTGGGTAATTCTCTGGCAGGCTGCAGGGGGAGACTGCTTCTGCAGCTGCTACAAAGTTTGCAGAATTTGAAATGGGCCAACGGCAAAAGAAAAAAAATGTTTAAGTGTATCTATTCCTTAATACCAGAATCCATGGCTCCTCAACAGCCCTGGAAACATGGCTTAAAACCCACACAGGCAAAGTAATTGCTGCCTCTGGGGTTTTTTTCCTTATACTGACAGATACCTCTGACTTTCATCAAATATCTTAACCTCTCTGCACCTCAGATGGCTTGTCAATAACACTGCAGTAATTGCTACTGATCTTGCAGCAGCAAGGTGAGGCTAACTCATGAGTTTTGGCAAAGCAATTTGCAACAGCCTGATAGAAAGTACCATAGAAGCAGAGTGTAAAGGTTTTATTAGTGTTCTGCAGTGAGGGCAAGTGGCTTCAGGAGGATAGCTGAAGTAAGCTGCTTTTTAGCAGTGTGTTGCCAGGGCTCTGCTAGGTTAGCCACAGATAGAAACATTGCTGGGATTCTGCTGCCAGCTTCACTTTATGCCAAAGCCTTAGAGAGAGAGGGGGCTGACAGCCGCCACCAGGATGCAGCCAGGAGGTGTGGGACAGACACTCACAGCAGAAGTCCCTGCCACTTCCTTCCCCTTCCATTCCCTCAGCAGCATGAGGAGCAGCCGGCGCTTGGCTCTCCGTACCACCTCTGCCAGTTCATTCTGTGTCAGCACCAGGAACAACACTGTCCCTAACATCTTACTAGTGGTGCTCTGTTTCCTCTGTACTATTTACCAGCCATTAACTTTAACTCTGTATGCTTATGGTGTTTGTTATCACAGTCTCCCAGAGCATCCAGGTATGGCAGTGCAGTTGGGTTTACTTTGAACCCTTTGCCATCCTCTGCCTATGGAGTCACCAGGCGTGCAGCTGAAGCTCTGGCCAACTCTGGTTTTCTCTGCCGTTTTTACTGCAACTTGCGTGAGCCCCAGAAACCTAAACTAGTTTGATCTGTGACCTGAAGAGGTGATGGAAGGGGAGTGAGGTTGTAAATGGTAAAGTGTTCTGGTTTACCTACAACACTGGGAAATTGTTTTCCACTGAACTGCTTCAGTAGGGGTAGCACAACTGTTTCCTTACAAAATATCTACAGCCTACAATGTAATCATGAGCTCTGTTATTACAGGCAGCTTTTACACAACAGTAACTGAGTCCACGCTTCCTTTTGATGAATCTGAATACACCTGGGCTCACCCAAAGCAAGTGACTCAGAATTTTTAAGACTTAAATTTTTCTTTCAACTTTTTGAGGAAAATAAGAAGACATTTTAAGGAGTGCGGAATGATACGTTTTAGAACTGTATTGTAAGTGCTGGGAAGAAATGGTGATTGTATGATGATTATACATTATTCATTCTTTTGGAGTCCCACTGGTGTCAGCAAGTCAAAAGAGCTCACTGACGAAAACAGACTCAGCTGAAAGCTGTTGCCCAGTGACGAAAACACATAACATCAGCAAGCAAATCAGACAAGCCAAGAAGTTGGGGCACAGGATAACTAAAGAGAGAGGCCGGGTGAGGGTGTGAATGCCTTTGAAGGGCTGCTGCCTGCCGGCAGGTGGCTGAGCTTTCTCTAGGAGCCCTGGCGGCACCGGGGCTGTGGCTCACCCAGAGACCGAAGCTGTTAGCTGTGTCTGGGGACAGGCCAGCGCTGTGCCTCACCTTCGTTATCACCCGTGTGCCTTCTTAACCATTCGTGTCGCAATAACCGGACGAGCCCCAGTAACACAGCGGTAGTTTGCTGACCTCGCTGCGATGCTTTACCTGCAGGGCCGCGGGGGTTTGACGCTAGCTCGCGTCCACTGCTGCTTTCTAGCAGAGCCGTGGCATGGAAGAGATGCTGAGCTGTCTGCCGTGCTGTTGTGATAGCGGTGCTACAAAACCTTGCAGTTCTGAGGCACTTGGAGAAAGAGAAGAAAGAATGCTGGTAGGACTTGAAGCTTCCCTGGCCCACTGGCTACCTGCTGAAGACAGTGCGCCGTTGCTGCCCAGGTTGTTCTGGCACCGTGGGGAGTCACTGTTAGCTCCAGTGGTGTGGAAGGGTGCCTCTGCAGATGACATTAGAAAGGCATACCGACAGCTGGAATTGATTCTGCGCCTTGAAAAAAATCCAGAAAATAGAGAAGCAGCAGAGAAGAAATTCAGAGAAGTTGCCAAAGCATAGAAAGTCTTACCTGGTGCCAGAAAACAGGAATGACTCACAAATCTACAGAAGCAGGTTTAAGTGGAAAACTAAAAAGAAGTGGAAGAGGTAAAGTTTACAGTACACATAAAGATATAAAGCACTTGAATTCTGAATACATAATCACTGATTTCTACCCAGGTATGTTTAGAAAATCAGTTTTCTATTCAATGAAAGCCTTAATAGTTGCCAGCATTTCTAGAATCCATGGGTAGCCCTGTGGCAGAGGAAGGGAAAGGAATAGATGATTTTTTCCTATTCTTGGAGTTTCTCCTGTTCCAGGTACTGGATTTGCTTCAGTTGGATCCTACCGAGCTGGGGACTGTTCTTCCTCCATAGCATCGTTGAATGGCAGCACAAAAGGCACCTTCAGATCGGTCGTAGCAATGAGCACAATACTCGCTGGTGTCAAAATTCCCACAGAAAGAATTGAGAAGAATGGCAAAGAGAGGCTAGAAACTGGTTTTAACCATTAACATTCTCAGCAGTAATTGGAAAGAGGCACCTGCTATAACTGGGTAAAAAGTTATTGGAAACTTTTTTTCTTTTAGAAGTACTGTTACACTGTGCTCCTCTGAGGGATTAGCAGTCGTATCTCAGGGAAATTTTAAAGAAATTCTGCTTTCAGTGGATCTTTGACTATGTTGTGGTTTGTCCATGTATTTCGTATTTATAAACTTGGTAAAATCAAGAGAGAAATCAGTCTGGACAAATTTTTGCTCAACTCTAATGTAAGCCTTCCTCTTTTCACGCTGAGTTTTAATCAAGGACAGGATCTATGATATTTCCGAGACAACATTTTATATTTCCAAGGAAGACGCAGCAGTGGGATAAACTGATCTGGGATGTTTGCAGTATTTATAAAAATACAAAATGTTGACAGTGTGTTACCAACATAACATATAATAATATGTGCAAACGTATTGGTTATTGATAAAAAATTCAGCATTTAAAAGTGGGTTTGGTGGTGTTTTTTGGGTTTTTTTATTAAAAGTAAAAAAGAATGCAACAGCAGAGCGAAGTACAGTGCAGGAGAATGCCATCAGTCGATATATTTCTTTGGGCTGTCACAGGTCTGGAGGTCTGGCTGTGTTCTGAACTGTAGCTCCCGGTTCCCAAGTAGCGCAGAGTGACTGAGCTGTAAGACTGTGTAGAGAAAAGGATGGTCCCATGTCTAAAACAGGGATAGGACTTGAGAGATGAGGATTCTTTCTCTTCCGTTTTGACCTTTGAATCATTTACAGGTGGGTTTCGAACATACTACAAGGTTTTGAGGTGAAAAAAAATCCAAAGCCTGCAGGATTCCTAATCCAAATAGAAGGCAAAGTTTGAGAGCAAGGAAACATAACTGTGATTTAAAAGTGGGAATTTTAAGCAGGAACAGTAGGAGTTTTTGAGACCTAAGCTGGGAAGTTGCTACTTCCGTTGCTTCTTCTGTTGTAAGTGGAGAAAGAGAAGTTCCTTCAGAGTGTTATGCTCCTCATTAGGCCCGTCTAAAATTTGTGACTGCAGGGCTCCCTTATGGGTTTGTTCGGGTTTTTTTACGCCCACCCCCTACAGGATACATGGGAAGGTTGGTCTTTTAAAGAAGGCACCTGAAGTTATTAGCAAATCCTGACTAGTCCAAACTTGCATATCACTATCAATGGTAACTCTTCTGAAATGCATTTCCTAAGCCGCCTTTTTAAGAGTATTCTTCCTTAATGCCTGATAATTAGGCCATCTGCACATGTACCTATTAATTTGAAACAGCTTTACAAGGAGGGAATTTTGAAATTAGGCTCATTTGAGTTTTGTGCTTGACTAAATAGTTTTTGTGCCTTAGTCAGCACAGGTGAGCACTTGAAAAGCAGACAGCAGAGTTTAACAGCTAGAAACAGTTCCAAGCAAATACAGGCTACTGCTTTGCTCACTGATCCTCTGTAGTAGTCTTCCATGTGTTGCACAACTGTTCTCATCTGTTAGATTTGTACATTTGTCTTTATCAACTCTTTAATTCTTCTTATAGGAAATTGATGGCAAATCATTACTGTTGATGACAAGAAATGATGTACTGACTGGACTTTCATTAAAACTGGGGCCTGCGCTGAAAATCTATGAATATCACGTAAAACCTCTACAGACACAACATCTAAAGAACAACTCTTTATAGCGTATCGTCTAATTGGGGTCATGTTGTGCCTCAAAGAGTAAATAAGCAATTTGGTTTCATGTGATGGAACTTTGTAAAGAGAGAATATATCTATTAAGAATTTAAACCAAATGACAATATATATCCTATTGGATAGAGTTGGCAATATACTACATACTGAGTCTGAACTGAGAGAGGTGGTGTGTATTTTTTAGATAGTACATAATGATTTTCTCTTTTAGGAAGTGTCAGTGGGCATGTTGAGATAGCTACAGCACTGTGTCCAGAACAAAAGGCAGGTATGTCATTCTCATTTTTGAGCCAGACATGTTCTTGATTTCGTGAATTACGATACCACCCCACCCTCCTCCCCCTCAAATAAAGTTTACCTGCATCTTTGGGAGAGAGAAACCAATTGAAGTAGGTTTTGGTTTATACCGAAGACCTACTAAAATTATTACCGCTTGTAATTTTAGGATGGGGCACTTGCCAACTCACCCTTTTTTGCAGAGGGTCCTATTTTGACCTTATTAAGGTTTACTCGTGGTATGCTGCAATGTTTAAAGCTGTACATACAACTAACATAACCCCTTCGGTAGCAGAAGGCGTTGCTGACAGGTGAAACTGGGTTGTGTATTTTTTTGCTGTCCTTTAAATTTTCAGCTTGTTTTCACCTGTTTTTAATAGTAGTTCTATGTAAAGTATGGTTGTTTTTTAGAAGTTTCTGTTGCTTTGCAAAACAAAAAAAGCTTCATTTTACTCCTTTCTTAATTTATGATAACTTGTTTTCAGACATTTTTTGTATGCAGAAATTTGTAAAAGGAGTAAAATTCTGCACATTTTTAATATTGTCTGTCATTGGTGGTGTAATGGTTGATTTATTAGTTTTTTTAAATGCTTAACAGTTTGAATACTTGTTTTAAAAACTGAAAGAAGCTGTCTCATCACCATACATCTCTGTTAAAAGAGAGTCTTGTTCAATCTGTTTGTACCAGTTCTCTATTTGATAGGTTGCTTGCTATATCCCAATAAAGCATTGCTTATGTTTGGATTTTTACTTTACAGATCTTTACTTTCTCTGTTTCTTTGTTGTGGTATATTGGAGCTCCTGTTATCCTTTATTTTCCCATTAAAAAGATACCAAAACTTACTAAATATTCTATGTCCTTGTGATTACTTTTAACACTACCTACCAAGATATTTTAAAATGGCATTATTTTTGATTTTTCTTATCTAGTGTTGTATACTGCTGAAGGAGGAGCCCTGGTCATGGTTTGCCAGTAACATCTGTACTTCTCTTGTGCCTTTCCAGAGCTGTCAGTGGTGCGGAGGGGCCGTGCTGGCGCTGGCACAGCGGGGTGACTTACCCCAGAACGCCTGGAACGTGGCCCACAGGTGGTGCTGAGCACTCTCTGGGCTCCCCACCTTCTCTGGCCCAGAGAGCTTTGGGATGACTCCTGGAATTGGGATGTGGGGTTGCCTCAGCGAGGCTGAACAAAGGAACCGGGAAGCAGAAAATAAGCAGGAGAGCGTGGTAGAAGTGGAAACTGTGGGAGAGGAAATGGTGAGGGTGTGCAGCTGAGAAGGGAGAAGGCGAGAGAGCATGGTGCCTTCTGCCGAGTGAGGACAGGATTCAGAGGGAGGAAGAAGCTCTTGTAATCTTCTGCCTTCACTTGTGACTTGGCCAAGTGAGAGGTGGCTGTTGATGGCACGGCGCTAGGGCAGTTGCTTATGGCTTCTGGTGTTGAGATTTGAGAAGGGATAGAGCTGTGTTAATAGCTCTGCTGAAGGTAAAGCTCACAGTATGTGGTAAAATACGTAAACTACACACAGCAGCGTGCTTGCTCATACGCTGTGTAACCTTCATGTTGTACTACATGCCTACCTGGAATCCGAGACACATGGTAGAAGGTGGAGATGTAGTCACCGTTTCTCTTTCTGTCCCTCATACTGCAGTCACTTCAGGTATTGGTCTGTTAGCAACAGGTCTGTAAGTCACAGTCTGAATTCTGCTTATGATTTTATTTATAATTTGGTAGTGTCCAGAGAGTATTGTCTTTGCCTTGGGGAGTTTTCAGGTACAGGGAGAGACTAATTACAGGCTGCAATTGAAAAATTGTCCATGAAACGCCCAGGTATTTTAATATAGAATTAGCTATGTTTGTGAAAAGGATTATGTGAAGCAGCTGCACGTAGCAGTCTGTACATGCCTACCAGCTCTGTATTTGTAGAATTATTGTTGGGAGGAGAATATGTAATACTGTGTTACTGAAGGACGAATTGAATATTCTCTTCTTCTCCATTTGCGTGTTTGGCGTGGGATTCACACATTTTGTGGATCTATGGATGACACAGGATTAAAAGTAAAACATACTTATTCCACGAGGGAGTCAAAATCTCCCCTGTGCAGCCATGAGCACATGTGGTGATTACTGAGCGCCATTCTTTATTTAAATACGTTTTAAAGAGTCAATGAATTGCATTCAGAAACATCCAGATTGTATTCCCCTTTTGGTCAGCACTGCTAACTGGTTCATACAAGTAGAGGCCTAACAAAAAGCTCACTGCAAGCGTGAAAGGGAATTTGGAGGATAGTGCTCAGAATTGTAATAATTTTTTTTTTGCTGTGCATGTTCTTTATCGTAGTTTCCTGCTGTTCTCTGAGCTTTCTAATGCTGCTGTTCTCTTTGTACAGGTGACCATTCTGGTTTTGTCCGTTACATTCTCCTTGATGTTTCTGGGAGAACAAAAAATCTTTTTAGAAGAGGCTGGAGGGTTTGAAAGAGGAAGGCAAAGCCAGATTATTTTTAGCTACCATTCCCCTTGCAGAAAACACAGCTGCTGTTGAGATGAGGAAGTGACTGCTGGGCATTACTGGATACCGTGTCAATACTGCAGTTCTGAGACTCGGAGAGCTGTGCAGGAATCCAGCTTGTAGCACGCCCTTAACGTGCCTGCAGCTACAAGAGTCCCTCTTCCTCGGGAGCCCTCCCTGTGCTTTGGGTGGTGGTCAAGCTGCCAGGTGTGCGACTGTTCGGCTGGTGCTGGGAGTGAGGGTGACAACAGTCTCTGTGCTGCAGGTCTCCTTGCGCTCACGCTGAACTGGCAATTTAGAGAGCGGCTTCCTTCTTTCAGAGGCAGCTCTAAGGAGCAAAGCAGCAGTCAGCTCCCCTGCCCTGCTGCTGGTCAGCAAAGAACGGGCAGATGTACTGCAGGCAAGGTCCTTCTCTTCCCTCTCCCTCCTCTTCCCTCTCCCTCCTCTTGCTCTTTTCATAATACCACCAGGGTACATCTATCAGAATCTTTCATAGCAATTTGAAAAATTACTTGAAAGCATTACAGTATGCCTTTCTTGGTATGATGGTTGTGAAATATAGTGATATTGTTCATCTGCTCTGATGTTTGCTCTCCTCTCAAGCTGCAAATACACCACGCATAGCGTGTTCCCTTGGCATGCTAATGCAGTGCCAAGTACCACACACAAAGCGCATATAAGGCAACTGTCAACAAAATGTGGAGGCTGTGGCTGTGCTTGTCCACCAAGGTCACTTTCTCAATCCAGAGAAAATCGTTCTGTCTGCTTGCTGATATCTCTCATCCCTATTACTGTTCCCTTTAAAACAGTTTGCTCTAATGTGCTGCTCCTTATCAATTTGTGATGTTCCTTTGGATCCCAGATGTGCCTTCAGCTTACTCGCAGAATAACATTAGCTGGTAGATGCTGTAAATTTGGGGAATGCAAGTGTAACCTTAAACACCTGGAGAGCCCAAGGGGAGCACCATGAAGACTGTAAGTGGCCCTTGGTCTCCGTGTGAGAGTTTTGTCACTACTGAAGGCTCCTGGTGAGTGCTGGAGACCACCGTTGTGTGTATATGCTGCAGTCGTGAGCATCTTTGTTACAGGAACAGTCAGCAGTTATAACTGCTGTGTCATCAGCTCATCTGCTGAGAAGGCAGCAACACATGCCTTGGCACTGGCAGGCTTGCCCTGATCTCAAGATGTTCTCTTCCCCTTTTCAGATGATTGCTATAATCCAGCTGCCTTTCTGGAAACACTCTGCAGAACTTTTTATGTTGAGGGTGCCTCTGACTTTGTAGCAGCTAAACTGTTTCAAAAAAAGGAGGGAAGGCTCATCATTTGCACGGATCTCTGATTCAAGAGTAGCAGTGCCTTCTCTTGTACTGGTGGATTGCAGCAGGAGAAAGGAGGCAAAAAGTAAGAAACGTGTAGATGGGCTTGTTTCCCAGCTAGTGGCCAAACAGCAGGGAGAAGCGTGGAAGTGGGTGTGTGCCTGGGTGCAGCACCCTTGTTTCGCAAGGATACTCTTACCCTCTCCTCCTTTCTCTATAAATACCAGATGCCAGTTTGCCTGGGCTTCTCTGCCTCAAAACCTATGTAATCTAGAAGGTCTGGAAACATTGCAGGAGTACAGGGTCATTAAAACTTAAGAGCCTTAAAACTTAAGAGCCTTAAAACATAAGAGTCTTTTCAGGTCAGAAGTAGATGTTAATATGGGAATTCGTGCCTAATGCTACTCTTGAGAGGTGGCAGAAGCCCCTGTTAGTTCTCGGGCACTCTAGTTTCTGCTGTTACGTTTCCCTCTGCACCAAAGGTTTCTCTACCTGCTTGTTTTTCTAGTTTTGACTGCCTCCCATACTGCTTGTCTGGGGGTTTGTTTTCAGCTCTGAAGTACCCAGACAGGAGAGATACTTGTCCTCACTGATATTTTCTTAAATTATTTTTTGTTCTCTCTCTTCTTTGATTTGTCTGATATTTTTTACTGTCACTGTATTTCTTCCTCCTTCTCCCTCCCCCCATCTTTCTTGCTTCTCTTTTAGTCTCTTTTGCCTCTGTTACCTTATGTTCCCATTCCAGGCTGCCTCCCCTAGGGTGCAGCTCCAGCCATCAAGGGCCCGAGCTACAACTGGCTGTGCCCACAGGCAAGTGATTACTTGCTGCGATATGACCTGCTCTGGCTGGCGAACGGGACGGCGTGATTACCTGTGCTTCTGTCCCCAGGTCCGTGAAGTATTCCTCCAGCTCTTCCTAGCAGGTAGCAATAGGGTTTGTGCCCCTGTCCTGGTTCTCTTCCCTACCTGTTTCTTTGTGAGCCTGGCAGAGGTGACCTGCTGTTGTGGTGTGTAATTTGGGGTAGATCTTGAAGGGACCATGGCAGGCTCTGAGTCAGTGCAGCTGAGAGTTTGCAAGTCTGTAATAAAACTATGTAACAACTAACCCCAGCTCATGTTGTTTCTTACTTAATTGCCATAGATTAGTCATGCACCAGCTGATCTAGCAAGTGCCCTTCATACATGTATTTTTTAATATGTGTGTACACTTATGGGACCAGGTATGCACGCATGCACTGTGGTATGTGTGTGTGTCTACTCTTTCTCAGTCTGCTAGGAATGGTAAGGTTCAATCTCAGAATGAGAAAATAGTTTATATCTTAATTATACCTGAGATGCAAGTTGACATTTTTGATCCTGTAACTGGAGACATTTAATAGCTTTCCTTTCTCAATACAGCAGTGCACTTTTCAGGAAGACATTGATTGACTGTTGTGTTACACAAATAGCATGATTCTAACTTCAAAAGTATTTATACTGAGATTTCTCTATATATATACTGAGATTTCTAAAGGGTGGGGTTTTTCTGGTCTAGTACAAATCCTAGTAAGGTATTTGTGCACTTGAAATACCTGTTTCTTGGTGAGAAGGTCAAGGCACTATAAACTACGGGGGTATAGCCCAGGACCAGCAAGGTTCGTGTTATCAGCAAGAAGATGTACTTTAAATGGCAATTTTATGATCTGCTGGCTGCTGCTCATTTTTGTCACGTGTGATTTCATCAGCAAAGCATCGCAGCTGCCTCTGAACAAAACACAGTAAGCAACTTGAATAGCTCCTTAGAACAGGAGCTGGAAACAATCTCTCTCTCAGTTAAAATAATGCAATTCCATTGCGGAGACTGAATCTAATGAAGCCAACGGGAATTTGGTCAGGTTTCAGGCCCAGGTCAGTCTGGCTAAGGCCCGTTTTTAAGGCTGATTTATGCCACTGTTACCTGAATCTAATTGTCTAAAATCTGGGCTTCTTGCAAGTGCTTAAGTACTTTGTTTAGAAGCAGTCTGCCTGCATTAAGTGACTCAGGTTTGCAGAGCTGCTTGGAGCTACGCCGAGATGCCTTTAAAGACTTGCTGAATGTCTGCATGTCAGTAGAGGCTTGTAGAAATCACATGGCACAAATGTACACGTGTTGGTTGCCACAGGAAAGCCTAAATAGATACCTGTTTGCTGCTTTGTGTCCTCATTCTGCCAGGAAGGTTAGTCTGGTACTACCTCACAAGCCCACAAATGAAGCACCAATAGTAACGAAGGAAACCTGCGTAATGCATTTAATTTCTCATGAGCTAGGAAGGAGGTGGGTTGCATAGATCTGCCTTGTTTAGAAAGAGGTAAATGCTGAAATGTTTGGTAAGATTCTTTTTCAACTATTTTTTCATCTATTGGTACTGAACTGTCATTGGAAACATGACAGGTCACTTTTAGAGGTAAAATGGCTGAACTAAAACATATTTCTTTTACTTACAGTGTTTGCAGTCGTATATAAGTAGTAAATGATTTGATTTCTTAGTTGATAAACAGTCAAATACTAGTTTGTTTTTTGATGTTGCTCTTTATTTACCCTTAAAAGATACATTAATAAATTACAAGCACCTAGAAATAGCAAGACATAAACCCACAAGAATAATACAACACAATCTAACGAGGTAAGAAGGAATGTTCCCGGCAAAAGCTAAAAGTGTTGTAAATAAAACTTCGAGAATTGGCTAGTGACCAGAGACCGGTGTGTCTGGAACAGCTTCACTCTGTGGTTGTCATTTGTCCTGTTGTTTTTCAGGAGAGCTCAGGCTTGTGAACCAGGTCTTCCCTTCACATCTGTTGTGTCCTGCTCACCAAAGGCAAGTTCTTATCTTGCAAAGCACCTCCAAGTGTTGCACGACGCAGGACATGTGCCTCGTTTTTGGTGCCTCTGAATTTAATGATTGTACCCAAAGGAATGCTGTGGGTCTGTGAAATTGGGACGGCACACAGGCAACTGAATTGCAGTTTTCAGAAGTACCGTTGGGCACTTCCTGCTGTATTTGCACTCACATGGAATCTGTAAAAATTATGCTCGGAGAAAATGAGAGTAGTGGATAGAAGTTGAGCAGGAATTCTGTTGCAACTGTGGTAGCCACAGTTTGCAAGGTGAGAATTGTTGGCTCTATAGTTTTATCTCTATGTTTAAAGCTATCACCTGGGGTAACTAAAGTAAGATATGCTTTGTCTGTCTAGTTTTCTCCCTATTCCTCCCAAAAGTAAAAGGGTTATTCAGGTTGACTCCTGCCTGCTCAGAAGTCATGATAAGATTATTAGACTAAAGAAAACTATTTAATTAAACATAAGGAGATAGCCCAAAACCTCATACACCTCAGTGATTAATATAAAAGTAATTATATAGTAACTCTATAGCCTGAGTAGCAGCAGCAGCCATGCAGTCAGAATATGTGCAGAGAAGTTAGTCAACAGTGCTAACTATTCACACTGCACAGGAGATACGAGAGATACTTTTTCTTTTCTTTTTTCATTTCCTTCACAAAGAAATCAATGTCTGACTGATTCCCTGTTCAGCTACTGGGTCAGAACCTCAGCTCTGTAGACTGATGTGGCATCAAGGGGTCATGACAGGTTATGTCAATGAAACATCTGGTCTTGTACCTGTATATTCATTTTACTGAAGGAACATTAAGGAATAGAATATTCAGAGTTGCGGATTTTACGTGTCAAAAACATGTTACAGATATTATTGAATTAATTGTTTCATTAAGAGGCCTGTGAATAGCTGATTTAAAAATTAATTGACTATAATGTTTCCAGCTGGGATTTTCAAAAGAACATAGGGAATTTCAGTCTGCAGATCACACTGAGATTTTGATTTGATTGACATGGATTTCTGAATTCCTGAGGGTCCTTCAGAAATCCCAACCTCAGGAGTTCATAGAGGGAAAAGTGGTCAGCAATGGAAGAGGCCAATGAGGAATATATGTTGGTAGGAAAGCCATCCTGTTAAGCTTATCGGAAAAGTGTGAGTGTAGCCGAGAGGTTTAGTTTCCCTGGGCAGCTGCCAGTCCACACTGACTTCGCCTCTCATCCCTTAGCACTTGGCCTTGTGCTTCTAAGAACTTCTTCCTGCCAAGTGTGCAAGCACAGAAGCCATAGGGAGTTTCCACTGGAATCAGAACCTGAGGGGGAGGAGCACAAACACAGAGGTCATTTCTGAGACAGGGATGTGCCAGCACCATCACAGCAGAAACTGCAGCTATTCATCTCCTCCTAAAATCACACCCAGGCCCTTTCTTTTATGAATATCAATGGTATTGCTGTTATCTCCAGTGAAAGTGGATCTATAATGCCCACCTGAAAGAGGGCAAGGGTAGGATAGCATGGCAGCAGAATCACAGGACCTAAGGAGGGAGACTGGAACATAACTACACTAGAGGCTATCGATGCAAAACAGAATAACCCAGTTTGTCTCTGTCACGTGAGGATGACACAACAGGCTTGCAGCTGGACCTGGCTGTCACCTAGATCATCTGTGGAGGGAGGAGCAAATATATCTCATCCCCTGTATCTCTCACCCTCTGCTTGATCCCAGGCTTACACCTTGTCCACTGTTGGACCAACCTGTTTTGGCTCCTAATGGCTACAGACACATCCTTTCATTGCTCCTTTAGAGTGCTGGTCTTATGTCACCTGGAGCTGGCCTACTGCCTTGCTACCCTGCTGGGAACCCTGTGGCACCAGGGGTGCTCCCTGGCCTCGGTGGTGCTGCCGATGGAGCAGAAAGGAGAGTCTTCATGGGCTAGCTTTTCACAGGACCTGGCTGTGTGAAAGGATGCCATGATGCATTCTGCTTGGTTCTGTCACGGGTTGACAGAAGTCAAATTTAGTGGAGAAAACAGGACCGATATTTCAGAGATCCCTTTGATCTCAAAAACGTTGTGTTCCTTTAGCTTTATCAACAACACAAGAAGGCAGTTATCCTTCTCCTATAATTGGTGTAAATCTCTTGTAGAGGTAAGGTGGAACTTTCACTGGGGCTGGGAGAGGAAGTTTGCTCCCTTTAACTCTGTTCTGTGCAGAACTGCTGCTATGCTTTAAGGCTGACTGTTTCGAAAGAGTCCAGGCAAATTGTGTTTGGATCATGTACTTACTTCTTTGTCATTGGTCAAGCCTAGATTCTTCATGTCTAAAACATTATAAAAGATGTTGTTCAAGACGGTTTCTATGACCTGTACCTGAAACCATGAAAAAGGATGAGACAGTGAACTGGAGCGCCTAATCAGCCAACAGCCTGGCAGACTTTTCTCACTGTAACAAAAAGCAAGGCAACCCTCACCACCCCAACTGTACAGTTGATCAGATGCAATCTATTGAAGATGTAGACAAGGTTGTAGCACCCCTTTTGCTTTTACTCCTTTTGCTTTTACCCAAGTGCTGAGTAATATTCTCCCCCACTGCATTCAGAGCTGGGGACCAGCATATGTACTCAGTGTGTTTGTATTTTTTCAGACCATCTAGCTGTACCACCAACCAGCTTCCAGTCTTACTTAGAACCGCTGGAGGAAATAATAGGCTCATTTTGGTCTTCTCTAGTGGTCCAACTAACATTCACTATTGTTTAAGTAAAACATCAGTAGGAAGAAGGAAGATACCTGTGGGACTTTGGAGAGGACGAGCATCTGGATGGAGTTGACAGTTTTCTGGTAAGAGGGTGAATATTCCCCACAGTCGGGTGGCCCAGAAAAGGCTTCAATGATACATCCACGCACTCTGTTCCTGAAGGTAACACAGGTTCTTACAAGATCTTGTATCAACTGTCTCTGTCTAGATCCATAATGTTTTACTGTGGGGTTGGTTTTCTATTTTTTATTTTCTCTGTCTTTTCTGACAAATCGTAGCACGTGGGATTTTGTGGAAGAAAAATGTCACTGTCCTGTCACCTCCAAATTCCCCCCAAGCTCTATAATTCACAAATAGGTAACTTGCTAAAAGTGTTTAACAAAGTAGTCGTTAGTTTGTTCTCCTAAAGTGTTCTGTACCACACACTGAATTGTCCATTTAAATACTTCCCCTGATGCACCATCAGAGAGAGAGGTGTTCCCCCCCCAAGGTGTGCCTCGCACCCCTCCTGACGCGTGCTTAGTGCCCCTGCTGAGATCTGTGAGAATGGCCAGTGCACAGCAACTGCAGATCTGGCACTTGCACCTGCTGTATTGTATAGGGGGACCTAGGGTCATGGGTTAGGTAATAAATGTTATTTGATGTGACATGTACCATACGCAGTCAAAGTCAAAATCCTTGCATTCGCCATAGGACCATTTGCAGAGGAACTCTCCACATAAAATCCTGTCATTCCTGTCAGGAAGTGTGGTGTGTTCATTCTTATAGAAGCCTTCAAATCCAGACTGTGTTGTTTTCATAAGTTTCAGGTCTTTAATTCCAGCAGAAAGAACCAGAGGACCTGTGATCCAAAAATAGGAGACACCGTGAGCTCCTTTTCAGGCAGAGAAAAAGAAACCACTTTGTACTTGCAGTGACGGCTCCAGAGCCACGAAGCTGTCTCTTGAGGACTAACTCATGTGCTTCTGTTGCAAGCCTAGCTACTCAAAAAAATATTTTCTGCACACTGATGTTAGTAGAAGGGTAAGAAATGAGACAGAAACTACTGAAATCAGAGCTCAGTCTAGAATCCCATGAAGTGACCTGCAGTCGAGGAGAGCTGAGGACACCCTTTATCTCATCTCCTTGGAGCTGGGACATGCATCGTGTTGGCTCTCACTGACGTCAGTTTAGGGACTGCTAATTGTTCTAAAGGGAGACGAAATAGGCTCCCAGTGGTGCGGTGGACACGAGAGGTGTGGGGAGCCTTTCCTAACAGCATAGATGAGCGTAGAAACTCTCCGTACAGAGACTCGGGGCCTCCGTCGGAAATGTGTTTTACATACCCGTTCTGTTGTGCCTTTTGCATCCGTAAGAATGAGAGGGCGAGGAGCCAGTGCAAATCCCTGCAGCTCAGCTAATTAGCAGGAACTGGCACTGGTACAGAAGCCACCCACAAATTCAAACTGACAGCGGTGTTGCTCTTAGCTACTATTTATAAAACGTACTGTTGTAGATCACGGCTGCATGGATGATCATCTTCTAAAGACCAAGCAGTTTTGTCCTGAATGTTTTCTTCTGACAAACCTCTTGGGTGACATCTAAACAATTTCAAGCGGCCAGTCATTTAGAGTGCACCAGACTGATAACTGAAAATTTCACTGACCAGAGCTGCCAAAAAAGCAAACTCTGAGATGAGAAATTTCATGACATGTAGGCTTATCCAGCACATGTGCACTCAGTGGCTGAAGCCCAAGGTGCTGCTTCTGTGCTGCTCTTGGTGCTCACACTAGCTAGTTCAAAATTAATCTTTGATGCATAGTAATCCCGCCTTGGACTGGGAAGACTGACAGACTCTGTCTTGAAACTGAGTCTTTGCAGGAATTTATACTGAAAATACTGCCACAGGGATGGATATTTCTAAAGTATGTGATTGATTGGGTTTTTTTAAACTGCTTTGTCACTGGAAATTATCAAAACTGCCTTTTATCTATTTCTTCTCTTGCTTACATTCGTTGTAGGTTTTGAATGAGTCCAAGGAAATGTATCTATAATTTTGGCTACATCCTCCTGTTATTTACTAAAGCTTAAAAAAAGTCTCTAGAAAAGAGACTGTTCTTGGACAAGACATTCTGGGGTTTATTCAGATCCTGATGAATTTATTGCTTGGGTATAAGACTTTAATGCACAAGTATTAATGTAGTGCAGATACTATCAGTGAACCTGGAGACATATTTATCTCATTCAAATACATAGCTGTGTTTGAAGGAGCTTCTTGCAATGAATGATTTCCTGAAAGGCTGCCTGACTGTCTGGCTTTGTAGCAGTGACCTGGAGCTCACCCTGTAGACCATAACACCTGGACAAAGTTTTTGAGGAAAACAGCCCGTGCTGTGTGTTTTGTGCTTGTGCTGTCTTCAGTCATCAAATGGGGACTTGGTTAAGTTACTTACAATGCGTTCCATTTCCGAAAAACTCTGAGCCTTTTATCAGCCAATATAATAGTGAAAAATAAGCCTATAATTCTATTAAGCCTCACTGGATTTCTTTTAATTATGAGAAAAGTGTTAAAAGATAGGATTAACTGAGAAATAAATTTCTATGTCTAGCTGGTAGGTGCATAGGAGGATGCTGAAGATAGAGAAGGTTCTCTTATAAGGAGAGGAAAAGGTATTTGAAAATGTTCTCTTTGGTTATTGTTCGCCTAAGCAGGGAATCCTGAAGAAACTGGTAAAAGGCTACATGAAGGAAAGAGTAAGAAGGAAAGGCAGTTTCTTCAGTAAGCCTTAAAGGCTTTTTGTTTGTGTAGAACCTTAAATTGCAGAATTACATTTTGAATTTTCAAGGTTATGAGAAATTTAATTCAATCAGTACATTAAAAGCAGCAGCTTTTCAAGAAAACATAAACTATTTTTTTAAATTTCATTTCTCTCTTAACATTTTCCAGTAACCAAAGCCAGTACTATTGAGGCTGCAGCACAAGTTCCCATTACTAGGAACATTAAGAAAGACGAGGCCAAGAGGCACTGGAGAGTTGCACGGGCTCTCTCTTTTCTTCAGGAGGAACACAGGGCCAGTGCTCAAATGCATCTTTGAGAACTTGTGTCCTGTCTGCGGGTGAAACTGGCCTTGCCATTGGTCATAACCGTGACACGTTAGGAAAACAGGCAGAGAGGGTAGGATGGGAAATAGTTCTAGGTTACATTAGGGCAGTAATAGCGAACTAACACCTAAAACCTCTGAACTTGCTGTGTGAAACGGTGCGGTGGTCTCAGCTCAGTTCCTGGTAGTCTGAGAGATGGGTTCAATGAAATGCCAACACAGTGAGATTGAATTTACACTCTTGTGAGTCACAACGAGAATCCAAACACTGCTTTGTTTACGTACGGCATACAAAAATAGGAAGCACAGGCTGAAGTATTTTCATGGGAAAAATTGTTTGCATGTAGAGCTGAGTGCTGACAATGCTCAAGCCAGCCTGGCTTGCAGCAATGAAATTGCATCTTTCTTAGAAATAAGACCAAAACAGGTTTTGAAAATAACTGCAAACTTGGCAATTGGCCTACAGCTGTGTGCTTTCATGGTACATCCTCTATAGGGTGGTGATAATAGTGAGACTGCAGAGCATGGTGTAATGTAAACAAAGGAAGCGGACTGTTCTCACTAGGTTGTCATATATGCGCTGTTGTCACCACTATGAGTTTAAAATATACATACAAATGTGGGCTGCATTTGTTCTTCAGCCGTGTCTTGGAGAACAAGGACTGCAAAATCAGACTACAAACGTATTCCTTGTTTTAGACCTCCGGAGCGGTCTGGCTGCGCTATAAGCCCTGTAAGACCTTTAGCTATCTCTAAAGCCACCTTCATCTCTCATTGGTGGAAATATTAACAAAGAAGCCGGGGAAGCTGCAAAATCTTTCCTCACCATTTCGGCACTGCTCAGCTTCACAAAAGCGGATCCCGTCAGGAACGCACATGAACGCGTGGATGTGGGGAATGCCGTTCTGCAATTTAGACAAGACGTGTAAGTAAAAGTGCAGTAAATGCTATCTTAACTTGAAAACAGGAACTAAGGGAGTGATGAATGGCTCTGGCATAAACAAACTGAGTGTATCAGCATTTTAGATACCTCATGTAGACGTTGCCATGGTACTTCTTGAACGTAGGATTTGACGTACGCCACTTGACAAAACGTCGTCATAAAGTGTTTGCAGATGTCTATGGCAAATTGTTCTAAAGTTCGGATCTAAGACAGCAAACAGTATTATTAGAAAAAAGCAATAATCTCATGTACAAAAGTAGATGATTCTGGTTGTTGTAAATATTTGGGAAGGGTTCATGTGGGTAAAAAACCAGATTTCTCTCGTTTCTGGCTTGGTGCACTGTGCCTAGTCATTCAATCGACGTGCGGTGTACGCTGCAAATAGCAGCTACAGAGTCGTGTCAAAAATCTCCCATTCTGTGGTACCAGGAGCTGCAGAGAAGCTGTTACAGAAGCCTTGTGCTTTGAGGATATAATGCTGTAATAATCAGACCGATATTCTGCTTAAGTTTCACAGCCTAAAGATGGGATTTTGTTACTGAGACAATTTATGCTGCAGATTGTCATTATGATAGATGCCATTGAGGGAGGTAAGAGCAGAATTAAGAGGAGTCTCACTTACTTTGAGACATTTTGTTTAAAAATGCTATATGAGAATAGTGCAGTATTATGTGCTAATAAATTTTTTAAAAGATGGATCTTATAAGGCAAATCTAAAAAAAAATACTGCTAGCTCCATGATTGAAAATAAAAAAGGGCTTTGGAAAACTAAGGAGTCTGCGATATAAGCACTGAAGGAGGAAAAATTCTCTCCCAAACCACTGAAGGTGACTTTAGTGCGGATCTGATGTGCCGATGGGGGAAGAGATTATTTTGGTGTGTTTTGAAAATAAAAAATTAGTATAACAAACACTTCCAAATGAAGTCATAAGAAGCAGCAAAGCTAGTTAAAACATACCCCATTTTTTTTGGCCAGCACAAGGACAATATTCTTTATGGTGTCTGTAGGTATCACAGAAGAGTTGTTTCCTTCCAGGTACTCGTGAGCAGAAGTCAGCCGGAGATGTGTGCACACTTCCACTTCTTTAACAGAGTGCTTCTTCCCGTCTTTATGCAGGCGAAGGAACTTAATTGTGTTCTTGCCATACTCGCAGTTGAGGACTTCTACGTCCTTGATCTGCAGAGAAAATACATGGCAGTTGTGAAGGAACTCAGTGGAAGCCTGAGTTATGCTCAGTCAGTGAAACATAAGCAATGTTTATGGTCTTTATTTTTGCAGTTACTTGGAAGTGGAAATATTTCCAGTATAAATTGCAAAGCCCTGATGGGAAGAAAAAACACTTTAGGAAGCTATTATTACATAAGTAGCAGCTGTGACAAAATTTTAAAATGTTATGGGGGGCAGACCATAGAACCTGAGCAACAGTGAATTAGTCTGTCTGGTTCGTCATCTTTGCATTGGTCCTGACTGCACAGACCTTCACTGAATCTCCCCTCCATCATCTCTTGCTGAACCCAGAGTGTCCCCATGCAGTCAGTCACGGCAGGTCACGGAGAGAGTGGTCAGACCCTGGCACAGACTGCCTGGGGAGGGGGTTGAGTCGCCATCCCTGGATGTGTTCAAGTGTCGCTTAGATGTGATGTTGGGTGATGTGGTTTAGGGGTGACCTTGTAGTGTAGGGTCAGTGGTTGGACTCGATGATCCCAAGGGGCTTTTCCAACCTGAATTGTTCTAGGATTCTATGTTCTATGACTGTGAGCATTTGTGTTATGCTAAAATATCCAGAGCTTATTGCACTAGACTTTCCCTGAGGCCGAACTATCCTATACTTGCTATCAAGATCTTTTAATGTAAATCAGCACCTTTTAATGTAAGCATAATGAGAAGGGAAAAAGAATATTTTACACACCAAAATATAAATTGAAGCTTTTCCTGTGTGAGTTGTTAAAAGATTATCAGATGTAAAATTGCTTAATTCAGACATGTTTGTTCCTAAGAGAAATGTTAATACACTTAAAAGGCAATTTAAAGAAAATATTAACTAATTGCAGGGAAATTACTGTGGCTCAGAGATCCTTTTCTCTGCCTGTCAGTCGCTGTGGGCTCAGTCCCACACAGAAATGACGGCCCCACTGCCCGAGCCAGAACTGGGCTCAGCGCTTCAGCAGAACCCTCTTTGCAGGAAGGGTGCAAAGGTTGTGCTCGCTTACAAGGGCTGGATGGAGAAGTAACGAGATGACAATGATTTTGTTTTGCATGGCTGAACGCCAAGTTTTTTTCAGGTAGTTGTAAAAAAATTCGTGCTCCAGTGATGCAGCTCTAAAAAGAAAACAAAACGACTTTTGGTATCTGCTTTTTTTTTTCTTTTTTTCTTTTTTTTTAAAGCAGAATGCCGTGAATATCTAAATAGTCCCTGTAGTGGGAGCCCAACTTCCCAGGCTGGCCCCGCCATCTCAGGCAGCCGCCCAGGGTGTGCTTATTTCAGGGTGTGCTTACTGCTCCCTACGGCAGGAGCTGACGGTTAACCCAACGCAACTTCTCCTTTTAGAGCCTACTCAGCGCTCGCCCTGTGCAGCCGAGAAACCAAAATGCCCGCGGGATCTGCACGGTGTCACCCTGCTTTGCTATTGCTCCTCTCCTCCGCGCCCCTGTGGGCAGCTGAGATTTCCTGCAGGAATGAAGATGGGGAGACAGTTGATTGGTAAGTAAATACGAGTGAGTAAATAACACTTGAGATTAAACGGTGTGAAGTAGGTGGATCACTGAGAAGTAATGCATAGCAATCACTGGTTTAATCCTGCTTGCCTGTGAGTAGTAGCTGAATTTTGCATTTGGAAAAAAATAAGTTACTGAAATGTGATTTCATTTCGCTGAACCAACCACCCTGCTGCGTTATGACTAACTGCGGAATAATCACCACTCTACACAGCGTTCCTGTCTCCTCATCAAAGGGAGCGTAACCTGTGTTTGGGTGCCAAGGCTGCGCCCGCTGGCAGCAGCCCCAGGGACAAACCGGCCTGGGCTCAGCACGCGGCTCCTCTGCCCGGGGAGCGGAGCTGAGCGGGGAACACATCTGTGCCTTGCCCTTAGCTTCGACACTCGTACCCGAACAGCAGTGGGGTTACTGTCCCCTTGCTGCCCTGGCGGAGGGGCAGTGGAGGCTGAGCTGTCCCGGGAGGGGTGCAGGAGAGGCACAGGGTGGAAAGCACCCGCTGCGCCCCCCCAGCTGAGGAGCAGAAATCGTTCCCTGGTGCCAGCGTGTTAGCGCTGGTACCATCATCCCACTGCCAGCAGCAAGCCTGAGTTTGGGTATTAAATGATTAATTGGATTAACGTGCTTTGAAGATGAAAGACATGAGGTGTAATTACACAATATCCAGCCCAGGTTTAAAAAGTGAATTGAAGGCTCTTAGAACACCGAAGCCTCCCAAAGATAAATATCAACCAATTTCGAAAGAAAAGTGTCCTTCTCACAGAGCAGTGATTAATATGGATGCAGGGGATAAAGAAGGAGGTGCTCTTCTTGCACATCCCTTCCCCTGCATGCAGAGCTAACCGCCGGGACGGCAGAGCTCCTCGCCCGCAGGCAGGCAGCTCAGGCAGGAGCATAAAGCTGGCTTTGCTCGGGATTAGCACAGCATCATATGTATGAGGGGCTGGTGCATCTCTGTGACTTGTCAAGGCCCTTCTGGATAATGTGATTTTTTTCAGGAATCAGACTCTTAGTTGGTGCAGCTGCCCAACAGCTTGAAGGTAAAAGAAATTTCATTTCTCTGCAAACTGCAGTTATTCCTTGCAGAATGAGTCTGTGCTAAATCTAAAAAATCCTGCAGTCTAAAACCCAACAAAACAAACAAAAAACCCCTCAAACAATAAAAACATTTACCATCCCTTTATTTAATGATCACAATTTTTGTATCCAAATTCTTTGAGAAATTCTTTGCAAGCTGTGGCTGAGAGAGTTCACCTGTGTTTCTGTGTGAGCACCAGTGACATGGGATCCATTCCAGATGGGAACTGGGGGGTCTGCACAGACAAAATTGTGTTCCCTTCTGACAAATCTAGCAGGAAGGACAGGGGAGATTTCCTTTCTAATGTGTCATGATCACATGAAAGGAAACTTGCTTATCTGCAGGGGTCATCCTAATTTATTGACAAGAAATAGTCAGCTTTTGCCTGATTCTGGATTTGGTTGCTATGAAGCTGATGGGGGAAGCAAAACTGAAACTGCTGAGACAAGCTCCCCCTTCACCCAAAGATCTCAATGCCCTGTCAAACGAACACCGCACTGCAGGTTTTATATTCAGTTAGCGAGAGCTTTATGTGAGTTCCTACTATTCAGTGGTTTCATCCTGCAGTATTCTGTAATTACTCAGTATTAACACACCCTTTTGATTGCCGCTGAACCGGAGGAATCGCTTGCCTTGTCTGACCTGATCCTATCTGCACTCCCCAGCCGGGCTGCAGTTCCTGCCCACATGCTGTGCCCGGGCTGGCAGGAGTCTCCCCCGTGTTTTCATTCCACTCAGGAGCTCATCCCACCACCTCCACTGCACCTCGCAGCAAATGGCCATAGGATTGGCTCTCTAATTGCCTTTATTCATCCAAATTCACGGTTCTGTAAGAAGTTTTTCATGCAAATAAAAGCCAAAACTCTGCTTGCTGAGAAGTGCCGAGTCAAGGGCTGAAGTCACAGATGCACAATGTTTGGTGTGGGTGTCTTTGGGGGGGGGGGGGCAAGAAATAACGATGCGATTAAGAAGTAAAGATGTGATTTTTTTTTCTAGTGAGTTAGTGTTCAGTCACAAGCAAACAATGTGACAGTGCTGAAAGGGTATAAGCAGATTTGCTTTTCCTTGGTTCTCAGGAAAACAACTTTCACTCTGCTCCCACAAAGGCCTGAGCTCTTGAGAAACTTCCTGTGCACAAATGGCAGTGAAGACTTTTGTACAACTTTAATTGCTTAATACACTCAGCTGGCTTTCTGGATAGCTCGACTACTACTGTTTCTGTAAGCGTACCTGCTCACCTGGATTTGTCAGATGCAAGGCTGTAAACACCCTGAGAACATAAATCTTCCCATTTTTCCATTTTCCCACATTTCCGAGGAGTTTGGAAAGGCTTCTATACTAATTCCTGGACCAGCTCATCCTACTGTAACTACTGCTATTCCTCTCCTTTCTGAATCTTCATTTCAAATTACGGGACTGTTGTGACTCCTCACGCATGGGCAGCTCTCCCCAGCTTTGCTATATAGATTAATTTCTTCTCTGTGATCTGTCATCAGCAACAATTTCAAGGAACATCACTCAGCCGGTCAGGCAGTGGTTTACCAGGATCACCAGTGTGCGTTTTCCTTCTGCCTGCACATGTATGTTTCCCACAGATTAAATATTCCTCTAGCAAAATGCTTTCCTGCCACATCTCACCTGCTTTCAGAGATGCCTTGAGAGTGTAAATCAACTGGGCAAGGCTTACTCCTCCTGGTGTACTTGAAGCATTAAGCACAGTCAGGCTGCATTTTTGGTAAATAGTATAGGATTGAAAATAATGCCACTCAGTTCTTACTATTGATATAAATAACAAATTACTCAAGGACAGCACTCAAAGTGGCTCAGTTAATTATACTGCAATTAATCTCATGGACTTGTGCACTGGGAAAACCTGTTTAGTTCCTTAGGGACATTAATATGAATTAAGCCATTTACTGACAATATTGAATACTCTACAATTTTGAAAAGGTTTGTGTTTCTGGCTAAGGGTTTGCAAATATCTAGTCTGCAACAGTTCAGCCTCGTGTGAGTCTGTTATGAAAAGTAGGATTTGAACAACATTATCACATGGCTTTATACTTACTTTGGGGGTCACTATGCAATTTTATAATTTTAATACATAATTTTATTTATTCCATATAAAGTTATATTTATATAATATAAAAATATATCAGCAAGAGGGATTCAGGTTGAACATAAGAATGTTTGACAGAGTTTGAGACCTGAGGTTCTCTACCACAGCCAGGAGCAAAGGGATTTGGTAGCTAAATGAGACTCTAAATCAGGACTACCTCAGTTTTTTTCAGGGTACCAGCAGAGTCTGGCCACAGCAACAGGAGTTTGGTGCCAAATCAGCCTCCCTTGCTTGCTAAGAACAAATGTGTCTGCAGCAGGTACTGTCCTGTCAAACGCTGCTGGTTCCTGGGCTGGGTCACCTCCTCGAGACTGAGGGACGTCCACACCATGTGCTGGTGGCACTGGTCCCCCTCCAGCATGGGCATCCCCAGAGTCACCCTTCTCTCAAATCCTCGACTGGGCAGGAGATACTGATTGACACGTTCGAGCAGGACAGCTGTGAAAAAATAACTGCTCTTTGCTCTTGCAGGTTTGCTCTTTACAAGTTGCCCAAGCACACCAAAGGAGAGCTCCCCATGCTGGGGCTGGAATACCTGTACATGGACACCCTGGCTCCGCAGTGGCAGCTGGGAAAATACCTCGTCAACATGACACAGGGTGCTCTAGGACAAACACTGGAACAGCTATACGAGATGTACGAATCTGAGGCAAGGAACATTTAATTACCATTTTGTTAGTACGCTTACTTGGTGGTACATGCAAATGAAATGAAACCGGCCAAAATAAGCACGTAGAGGTATGGCCAGACCTGACCAACTAGTTCTACTAAAACATGTCAAGGGGAGTGTCTTGACATCTGGGCAGGTTATCTGCAGTTTTGGCTACAATTAAAACTTATCCTTGAACCTCTAATTTCTAGTCTAGCCTTTCCCACACTTAAGGTATTGCACACCAAAAAAATGAGAACTGGTACGTGGTCCCTTTGCCGCCTTCTCTGCAATTCATGTTGAGCAATGTTTGAGGCTGGGAACCGTCTGTAAACTCAGACCAGGCCGGTGGAGACTAGTACACACACTTGTCCTAAGCCCTCCCATGTGCATGTGTTTCACACTCTGTCTCAAACCAAACCTGGGTTTTGCTCTTTCCCCTGAAATCACTGCGACTGTTTCAGCAGTGATATGCTGCTCGTTAGGCCTTTTTTCCCCCCCTGCAGTCAGATACCTCATTTATATTTGTGTGAAGCGATTACGAAGTACCGCAAGATCTGCCTGTAGTTATTTTTTTACGGTAGTATTCTTGTGAGTCTGGGTGTGTCTTTGCATTTCTGCTGTGGGTTAGTGGTAGGGTGTCATTAATTTCTTTGTAGAAGAGATTGCCAGAAGTCAGACAAATACTGGCAAACCAGCCAACTGTCCTATTCCAGGTCTTGCTATAATTGTAATAAACTGCTTACAAACTCGAAGTACATTGGGAGGAGAAGCATGTCCCAACTCCTTTGAAGTTCTCTATTCAGAGGGAATAAGGTGCAGCCATATGCAAATATTTTGCCAGAAAGCATTAATTGCTTGCCCTTCATAAGAATACTTGTCATGTCGAATTTCCATCATCAAACATTTTCACCAGATTTGGTTGCTAAATCAGAGAAAGGCACAAAAACAAGAGGGGGGAACTTCTTTACAAGGCAGTGCCCAATAAACCCGTGGAAATTGCCTTAGTGAGCGTATTCAATCTCTTGAGGAAGTGCTGCTGCAATGACTGAGAGAACTTCCACTTTGTATTAACTGGGACCCTAGTGCTGAGTCCTCAGGTTTATTTTACTGTACCTTCTGCAGACTGTGTCAGCTGAATGGGGAGAAGGATTAGGCTCACGATGTTCACACATAGAAGTCCTGAATTCTTTCTTCTGTTCCTAGCAGAAGATGTTTGCCTAAATGCTTTCCTTTTACCAAATGTCATGTTTCAGAAATGTGTGTTTTCCCGCAGAAGAACAGCATTGCATACGCAATATACAACGATGAGGTCCCTGAATCAGAGTCTGACGGGTGGAAAAGAGGACACACCAAAGGTACAAGGAGAGTTGCAAGCTACTGTTTTCTCCTTTCTAAAGCTATTGATAGCATCTGCTTGTCTATTCTTCTATCTGCATATCTAGAATTCCTGCCTAAAGCAAAACTGGAGAATGATTGGCATGATGTGGGGTTTGTTATATATGCTGCAGCTTCTGTTTTGGGTTTGCTGTGTTTTTGCTGTGTTGAAAAACTCTTAGGGCTTATGAACCCTTTGTTTTCAAGTGTTGAAACTCAAACTTTCAGCAAGTACAGACCATATCGTCTTGAGCCTAATGGCGAGAGTAGTACAAGATACGAAGGGAAAGGCACCCTAAACATAAACGCCTCCAAACCCTCTCTCTCTGAGGCACGAAACTGCTGCTGAGCTCATGGAAGCACTGAAGTATGCTGTTTTAAAGTAAAGGAAGATTCGGTGGCTGTCTAAATGTTCCCTTGAGGAAGCAGATGGGGTTTCCCAGCCTGACTCCGGCACGAACTGCTTTTTGCTGGGCTGTATTTTCAGGCTGCAGGGATGGGGCCGATTTGGGAGCCCCACTCCTCCCCAGAGCACCTTGCTGCAGGGGAGGCACAGCCCAGCTCTCTGCTGCTTCCCCAGGGAGGAGAATTTGATCTGGGAAAGAGGACACGAGGTTGCCAGAGTCTGTTTTGCCTTATGCAGTGAATATATCAAGGGAAGGAACACAAGCAGTAGAGAGAGAGTCTCAGTTACTATATCCTCAGACTTCTTGAAGAAAAAATTTGAGCACAGAAAGGATTTGAAAATACATTTTTTTCAAAAGGAACGTGGTTACACTTTGAGTTAGGCTATGCAAGAGAAATTAATGCAATTTTAATATATTAGTGCCTTCTATAGTCCATTGATTTACTCTAGAGACAGTTTACTGTAGACATTGACACATCAAAGTGTGGTGTCTGCAGCAGCAGATCCAAAGTAGAACACAGCTCTAGCTTCTCAGGGCTTTTCCCCCCTTGTTTCATTTGCAATAACTTATTTTTGGACAGGATTTCTGCTCTTGGACAAATCACAAGGCTTCTGGGTGATTCACAGCGTGCCCCTGTTCCCTCCCATCCCCGAGGATGGTTATGGGTATCCAGCTACTGGGGAGTCCTACGGACAGACAGCCATCTGTATAACCTTCAAATATGACCAGTTCTCAGAAATAGGTATGAAAAGCTTGTCCCTAAGGAATCCTTTGCACCTCTTGGACTGCTTTCCTCAAAAATCACTTGTTCTGTCCTTCATTGTCAGAGTGGGAAACCAAGTGGGGCCTGGGAACAGCATTCTTGGCTTCAGTATGATTATCTAATAATTTCCTGTGTGAATGTGGGAAATGCACTCGCCCACTCTGCCTCCGGCTCCCCATGGGGACTGTTGGGATAATAATAGTCATGAGGGCATATTGAGGGGAAACCCAGTCCATCCATACAAAATGTTTTGGAAATATAAAGTATCATAGTATCACAGAATGTTCAGAGTTGGAAGGGACCTCTAGAGATCATCTAGTCCAAGCCCCCTGGCAGAGCAGGATCACCCAGGGCAGCCACACAGGAACATGTCCAGGTGGGTTTGAAGGTCTCCAGAGGAGACTCCACGACCTCTCTGGGCAGCCTGTGCCAGGGCTCCGTCACCCTCACAGGGAAAAAGTTCCTCCTCATGTTGAGGTGGAAATTCCTATGTTCTAGCTTATACCCATTATTCCTTGTCCTACTATGGGGCACCATTGAAAAGTAGGAAGATTAAACGTTTCTAAAAGTAATAGCTCATTCAGCTGCAATTGTCTGCAGTTGCAAAAATGTACGGCAACTACCACTTGGCTTGTCAGAAATGTTAAATATGAAATAATATTACCCAAAATTTCCCCAGGTACTTTTTGCCCCATAAAACACCAATACTAAAATTAATAAAAACCCCTAAACAATAGAATCTATATCTGTAAGATTCAAAACGATCTGACAGTGATATCTGGTACTGGAATTCTGAAAATGGGCCATCAAAAGACATTACAAGAAGTCATACTGGCATGCTCGTTAACGTTTTTCACACTGTTTTCCACCCTTTTATTAGTTATGAACCTCAGATGGTGTTAATGAAACACAGATGCTGGGGAAATGGCCAGGCTGGCCACACCCCAGAGCTATCTAAACCAGGTTCCTGCTTGTAGAAGCATTTCTGTGCACGTGCTTAGGGAAAGAAGAAAACAAGATGCATACACTAAAGCTTTTCCTGCTCTATCCTCCCAGCTTCTGGTAATCTGTGGTTCATGGATTTCCTGAGCTGGAAAGACGGGAAAGTTCCTGATGGACTGGTCTTCCATGAACTCTTCTAATGAGCCCAATATATGATGAGCCTTGCTCTTTATGATATCCATGGCAAGGGCTTGTACAGTTAAGCTCCACACTGTATAGAAAAGTAAATTTCTTCTGCAAATTCAATCCAGATGATGAAAGGCAAACTCTGTTCTCCCTAAAACTGAACTAGCTCTTCTGTCTGCCTTTGGCTTGCCAGCTGTAACTGACTGGAAACCTCTCCTGTAAATAGGGACAGGCATGGATTTACACCTGGTGTCTGAGCACTGTGTGACTGCTTAGAGGCCTGAGGATGAGCATGCATGGAAGTGGCAGTGGACCGAGAGCACCCTGTACCAGTTCCTCTAGGCATAATGAGGTGGAAGTGAAAAAAACTGAGTGTCTTATCCCAGCCAGTCTAGCTGCTGCAGGGCCAGTTGGCGTACAAAGCGATTAAATGTGGTTTTGGTTGTTAAAATATGATACTTTGACACTGAACTCCTCCAGGAGATAGGCTGTGAAGATTAAGAACGATTTAGGTTTTCTATCCAAGGCACAACTTTGCCCTCTTGATTGCTTTGCTTTAACCCATTTTAATTCTGCATGTGTTCATTTCTTTGGGTTTTTCTCAGACCAACAGATGCTGAGTTATAATCCAGGAATCTACAGCTGTTCCATCCCTAACATCTTCCAAGCTGATCTCCCGAATCTGCAGAAGCTCTGTGCAGGGTCCAGGCTGCCCCCAGCACCCTTGCGCCACCTCTCCAAACTCCAGTCAGCTCACGGGGAAACCTTTCTCCAATTTGCAAAGTCACACTTGTTCGTAGATGGTAAGAGAACCTGTCGCTCTATCTGTCACGCATTCTCAAGCAAGAAATAAGCAATTAATATATTCTTTGGCAATTAGCATTTTCTCTGAGGGGAAAATAGTTCAGCTTCAGAAATAAATGTAACAGAGGCCAAGAAATGGTGTCCCATCATAATACTCTCTCAGCCCCACAAAGCAAAAAGCTGGCTGTCCTTCAGATACCTTAAAGTGTTCAGCAGTGGGATGTTGAGAAAATTTATTTCCTGTTATTCAACAGTAACAACAAACTAAAAAAAATGGGGTTTGAATCATCTCCATTTTATTATTATGAAGACCTCATTTTTTTCCCTTTCCTTTTGT